TAAAGAATGTAAAGAAAAGGCTGTTTATTAATTTAAAACTTGGGTAATTTTCAGTATTGCATTTTGTCTGCTGTCAGTGTGGGCTGTGTTGCATGCAGGTGGAAGAATGAACTTGGAGAACTTATTTGGGCAAGGTCATGTTCTAGAATAGCAAAGGGACAGCAAATATAGTCAAGTGTGGTCTGTCTGGGATTATTTACTGATGACACAGGCATTCAACAAGCAGTGGGGAATAACGTATTTTCCTATCAATATATTTGCTCGGTTTAGACCAGGGTTTGAATATTGGGAGCATCTTCCTTGCCTGCCCATCCTCCTTCTTCACTTCCTAGTTTGTGGTAACCATAGGTTGTTTTTTGTGTGTGTGTGTGATGCCTGAATTGGTTACCACTAGCCATAGTTTCTCCTGCCAACTTAGCAGTTCGAAAGCACGTCAAAGTGCAAGTAGATAAATAGATACCGCTCTGCTGGGAAGGTAAACGGCGTTTCCGTGCGCTGCTCTGGTTCGCCAGAAGCGGCTTAGTCATGCTGGCCACATGACCCGGAAGCTGTATGCCGGCTCCCTCAGCCAATAAAGCGAGATGAGCGCAAGTCCACTTCAAACCATAACTCCGATTCCAGTTTAGAGCCATGCTATGGCTAGTTTGCCAGATAGGGCCGGAGATAATTTCAGTATGTAAGGAGGAAGGGGGAAGGCATGGCAGCTTGGTACATGTGACATCTGAATTGAGTGTGGCTAGAGTACTGGGAAAATGTTAACATCTCTATGGCAAATTGATAAGTCTTTAGGAAAGACATTGAGATCCCAAACAAACATTAAGAATGCACAATTATTAAGGTTTCTAAAAAGAGACCGGAAAGGTTCAGCCAGGAAAAGAAATCAGTTGCTGATTGCCCCGTGAGCTTTAATATTTCTGCTGTTTTTGTGTGAAGGGCAATTCTTTATAGTGTTTGCTTTTCTGCTCCAAGAAATTCTGAAGGACATTGAAAATTTCCACCCCTATTTTTTATTCTGTACATTAGGGTTCACTGTGTTTGTTGTGAATTACAGTATATATGTTTATGTTTGGGGTTGTGGGCTGTTCCTGAGACTGATGGCTGACTGTCATCTTTGGAGAATATTGGCATCTTTGCAAACCTTCATTCCAAATTTGTTTGTGTATGTGCTGTCCCTTTCTGCTGCCACATCTTTATCAAGTTGCATTGGTGATCTGGCTTGTTTATCTTGCTTTGATGCATTTTTTTAAAAATTGGGACCAACAGATACTGATGAAAGTAAGCAACATGGAATAAAATGGTATAGTGCTGCCTCAGCTTCACACCTCCCCCCCTTTTTGTTAGCAGTAAATTTTATTTTGTCAGTATACAATATGTTAATTTTTTCTTCTTTAGATCTTGTTCCTGTTTCCCCATACATCTTTTACCAGATGTTTAGAGAGTGATCAGTGCTATTAACATGCTACCGTAATAAGCAAGGAAATAACACTGGTTTCATTTATTATGTTTAGTTTCTTGTCCTTTTGAAGTGTAAAAAGGTAAAGGTACCCCTGCCCGTATGGGCCAGTCTTGCCAGACTCTAGGGTTGTGCGCTCATCTCACTCTATAGGCCGGGAGCCAGTGCTGTCCGCAGACACTTCCGGGTCACGTGGCCAGCGTGACATCGCTGCTCTGGCAGGCCAGCGCAGCACACGGAACACCGTTTACCTTCCCGCTAGTAAGCGGTCCCTATTTATCTACTTGCACCCGAAGGTGCTTTCGAACTGCTAGGTTGGCAGGCGCTGGGACCGAACGACAGGAGCGCACCCCGCCGCAGGGATTTGAACCGCCGACCTTTCGATCGGCAAGTCCTAGGTGCTGAGGCTTTAACCCACAGCGCCACCTGCGTCCCTTTGAAGTGTAGTTAACAGTATTTTAAAATATCTACAAGGACTTCTGATTTTATTAACTGATTTGAAAGGAAACATTGCATTTAAAGGGACAGCTTAAACAAATTTCTAAAGCAGGCCTTATAGCACAGTCACTTGAACTTTACTTTCACAATAAGCTATAGAATCTTTGTTCCTTTATAACAAGGCGCAGCTCCCACTTATCTATTGAGAGCAGGAATAGTCCACACAAAGGTTACACTTAAACAGCGTAATGTTATTTCTTTTAGTATTGTGTGATAACACTTTAAATACTAGTAAACTAAAAATAATACAGATCTTGGGCTTCTAACTGGAATAAAAACAACATTTTATTTGTACACGTCTTTATCACTTTCTGTGACGGCAAAGCAGTATTTGTTGTTTGCCAAGAATTAGAAGATACCCACTACTGTATAAAATAAAGTGCTGGCTATAGAGCATCCTGTTTACTTTGCTTTTTTGACTTTAAGACATCTAAGAAAGAGAGGAAATGAGCTATTTGTTTTGTGCTCAGTTGCTTAATGTTCTGTGTTAAAAGGGATTTTATATTTGGATCGTAGGAAAGTCTTAATTATATATATTTAATGAGAAAATGAGAGTACTCTGCACTATTCTTCTAGCAACAAATAAAAATAATATGCAGATGTACATAAGGAAGCTTCTTACTATATGTCTTGGAAAGTACTTTGTCTATTTTTCTGGCCTCTGTGGGTTTGGAGACCTCTCAAGATATCATCGTAACAATCCATTAATCCAGGGGTTCACAGTGGGTACCTGGCAACACCTTATTAGCTTATTTTCTGGTGACATTGCCATCATCAAGGCCCAAAAGCTGCTCTTCCAGAGGTAATTAAAACTATAAATTATTGTTGGGTGGTGTTTGCTTTCTTTATAAACTATGACAAATCAGAGACCTTGTTTTGGAATGTGAACTTGCAGACTCAACCAGATATTAGATGATCCACCAAACTTGTTCTACCTCTTTGCAATGTTTTGGGGTTCTGATTCCTAGGAATCTGAACAAATTGCTTCATTTAAAGTACCCTACTCCCACCCCCAAACATATTGTAGAGGACTTGAAGGCTTGGCAGGCTTTGATTTTTTTTTCTGTTCTGGGGAGGGTGGCTAATGTAAAAATGGTAGCACAGACCAGAATCTTGTTTCTATTTCAAGTCCTGTCGATTTCACATAATACCCTTACCTCTTGGCAACTTCTTATTTTTTGCCGCAAAATTGAATCCAGCCAGGGAGGCTGGGAAGTCCTTTATTTACCAACATATTTTGATGCCCTTCAGCTATGGCAAATCGTTCTGATGATTTTAGCAGATCTAGCAACATCTTGGGTTGCACTGGATGCACAAGATTCTCCTTCTCTCCCTCTAATTGTGATCCCCTTTTTGCTCCCAAAGAGGTCAATATGGAAGTCTTTATTACACTATAGATATGTGGAACAGAAGGTGTAAGAAACTAGCCTGCATACCCTCATCCTTAATTCCCCTTCCTTATATACCACAATTTTAGGCTCAAAATAAATTAAAAGTATCTACTATTCTTTCCAAAGTGGGACTGCATCACCTGCAAGACTGTTATGAGAACAACATGCCAGTTACAGAATCACAACTCTCGGAATACTTGAAAGATTCAGGAGTAGATCAGCTATGTATCAATCAGATTGGCATCATCTTGAAAGATCCCATGTTACATGCTGTAGCCACTAGAGTCTTGCAACCTTAGGAACATCTGGCTGTGGCAAGCACCCCAAAAGGCAGGGTATTTCCACTTACTGCTTTGAAATCAGTGTGGGAGATGAACCCTATAGGCGAACTGAAACATTATCAGTGGCTTAAGATCTGGTCCACTTATTCCTTTAGGTCCATGTCTGCTAACATTAGGGAGAGGTTCAGTGCTGGTTTTTAACTCTGGTCTGACTAGCTCATTCTGTAAGATCTGGTTCCCCCTTATGCTGGCAGGGTTGTAAGGTACGAGGAACATATTTGCATATGTGGTGGAACTGTAATTATGTACACAAATTCTGTAAGTAGGTTCCAATGGAGATAGGTAGTATTGTTGGCAAACAGGTCACCTTGGATGCTAAGCTATGTCTCTTATCTATTTTTGATGGTGACAATGCCGACCTTACTGCTCAACAGTAAATTCTATATCTGTTGGTTGCTGCTCATCCAGTGATCTCTCAAGGGTGGAAGGATGCATCTTGTTATTCTGTGGTATAAGAAAGTCATAGTCATTGCCATTTCTGAAAAACTGACTCAAAAAAATACTTTGCTTCTGCTTGGGAGTCGTTTGTGATTTATATGACCAAACAATCTCATGGTTGGCACAGTCCCACTAAATAAGTTTCTTTGGCAACATTCATGAACATTTGGTATGGTTGGTAGAAATATGAACCTTGCATTGCACCATGAAATATATTTCATGTCATTCATTCTTTTTAAGCTTTCTATGATTATTATTTTATTATCTTGTAAATTTATTCTTCCTGTTTTTAAGTACAGATAGGATGAACCTATGTAATCATCAGCTTGTCAAAATCAGCCCTTTGGAATGTTCTATATTAGGGCCACTTAGGCTGTGATGTTTTCATTATATGTGATATTTTATATGTATATATTTTAATTCATAGAATCAAAGAACTGCAGTGACCCCAAGTCCAACTCCTGCAATGCAGGAATATCGACTAAAGCATTCAAGACAGATGGCTATCCAACATCTGGTTAAAAGCCTCCAATGAAGGAGAGTCCAAATAAGTCTACTAATGCTTTATAGATAGATATACCCCCAATTTGGCACCAGGGTTCCTGAAGTGGAACAGGCAGTCTTAAGTCCACATTTGAATGCCAGGTGCCATTTTGAATCAAGATGGCGTACCAAAATGTAACTTTGCCCAATTTGGCAGGACAGTTCCAAACTGCATTGATTGGGATGCCTCTAAAGATACTGTCGTTCCAGTTTTACATGACAGTTCCCAAGATCAAGGACTAGGTATATGGTTGGATACCATTAGACATACTCCTCCTGTCTTTTTCTCAATGAAGGTCATCCATAAGGGTAACCAAGGCTGATTTCAGTCCCATACTGTGGTCTGCACCTGGATTGGAAAGGATCTAAATAATCAGTGTGTCAGATACGTTTATATTTTAATCAGTTACTGTGAGATAAATGTTTAATCACAACACCTATCATATATGTGTTTCAGATAGGCAGAGTAATAACAGGTTTTATTAGGAAAGATGTTCTAAGCTGGCATTTGAAGGAAGAAGAAAAAGGTAGTATCACATAGGTTTTCTGGGAGAGAGTCCCATATCACATGTAAGGCAATGCCTTAAATATATATGCAGTAATCCCTGTTATCTAGTAACACTCCAGAAGAGCCTTTAAATGTAAACAAGTACAATGTCCATCAGTTCTGTGAAAGATCAATTAATTGCAATGAGTACAATCTGCTTCTATCACCTAGAAGTCATACCGTCTGAAGAAAAGCCATGGACTTTGTCCCTTCCTAGGGTAGAAAGCAGGAAAAGCTTTTTACATTTTTTCATCATCATATCTGGTAACAGGAGGGTGGGTGGAGATGGCGCAGCTATATGACCTGCCCAGTAGCAGATCTTTCAGGAGTCCCAAATCAAGACATTTTGCTTATAGTAAACCCCACTGACTAGTCATGGCAAAGGACAGGCCAAGTTTTCAGTGTGCAGTTAAGCTTTTTCTTGATTAATCAGTTGAATGCTGCAGCTTGATCATTTGGCTTTCAATATGCCACTTGAACCCAGCTACCCACTGACTTTCCAAGTACTGGAAGCAAAATACTCTTATACTTTACATTTCCCAGCATGGATATAGGACTGTGAAACAGCTCTGATGAGTGGGGATTGGGTGCGGCATGCAGCATAAACCTTACCTCTGGGAGTGGTAGTGCAAAGTGTTACTGCCTTGAGTGTTTGTACAGACATAGTTCATTAGAACATAGGTTTTCAACCTTTTTGAGCCCACAGCGCCCTTGACCAACTACATTCTTTCTGCAGCACCCCTGTGGGGCTCAGGAGCCCAGTTATGTCACCCCTTGCCTGCAGAGCTGGCAGTCTCTCACCCTTTTTCGAACCCGCTCTTTTGTGGAGTGTTCCCTCAGCCTCCTCGCCTCTCCTTGGGAGTCCTCTGGGCCGCCACTGCTGCTGCCCCTGTTATCTGAGCTGCCCCACCCCCCACTCACTCTCAAATAGAAGTGCCTCCTCACACTGCCCCACAGAAATCTGGGACTTGTCTGTCCATTCCCAACAGCAAGGGCTGGCAGACGGACTGGCTGTCCTCCCTCCCTTGCTTGCTTGCTTACTCTGAGGCCGTCTCAGCTCCTGGCAAGCAGACCCCCTGGCCAGCCCCAGAGGTACCATTCACCTACAAGTCTACAGCTGTGCAAGATTTTGGGAGGCAGAGATGTGAGAGGGCATCAAAGGAGGGAGGGAAGGAAAGAGGGACAGAGGCCACGGCACACTGGTTGGAAACCACCGCATTAGAAATATTTGGTTAAAGAGTTAAATCCCGAAGTATCTAACTTGCCCTTTTTTTAGGTTTTATGACTCAATCTATGCTGATACTCATCTGTTTATCTTTGGTAGTTGTTGAAAGTGATCAAGGTTACTACAGAAAAAAATAATGTTTTATGACTCAAAACTATTTTACTCTTACGTTTTCTTCCCAGATTCTTGGTGGAAAGATGGATGAGCAATTACAAGAAGAGCAAAGTCCTCTGAATCCGGTCAACCTTTCAAAGACTGATGACGTATCTTCCAGCTCATCAGCTGTTGAAGAAGCAGAGAAAACATTGGGAATTCAGGATAGTCTACAGACTGCAGACACTGGAGGTGAAAAAAGCCCTTTGAGCATAGAAAATAAACAATTGACACTGGATCCCAGTTCAACAGCTCTTGATGCAAGTGGAAATGGGGATGTTGTTGATGCACAGCCTACACCAGACGTTAATGGAGATGGAGGTGGAGATTGTTGTGCTAAACCATTTGAAATGCAGACAAAAGAGGACTGCTTACCTATGGGAGACTGTAAAGGAGAAGTTTCTAAAACTGATGACACAGATCGATCCCTGGTACACCTATTGCATGACGATATGAAAGGGCCTCACGGGGTCTGCTCAGAAAGCCCTTATGACACAGATTGTACTAAGAATCTTATCTCAACTATTCAGAACGCTTCTTCTCAGGAAGCTTTGTTAGAAGAAATAGAGTCTGAACTACTATCGACGGGTTTGTTGAAAGACCATAAACTTCCAAATGGGGTGTGCAGGAGTGAAGCTACCTTGGCTGTACTTGAAAAATGCATGCAAGATAAATATCTGCAGCAAGAACACACAATAAAGAAGTGAGTACCGGGCAAACATCCGCACATAGATCTTTAAACATGAATGTTATTCATTACGTATTGTGGAGTTACAGCTTTGTGCTGTGTAACTATAGTGATGTCTTTGTGGCTAAATGGTCAGCTTGGGCAAACAACATTGCTTACAGGAACGTTTTCAGTTTTCAGTAGGCAGAGAGATTAATTCATATATAAACTCATCAGTCCATAAAGTGACCATATGGTTTCCCAAGCTTACGTTAGGTAAGGCAATCACATGCCAAAATTCAAATAACTGTGTGTCAAGTGTTCTGTGGGGCTTTAGATTTCTGTGTCTTTTTTTATATATACTCTCCTTCAGTTGATGGATTCAGACATGGTGTGTTTGAAACTGAGTAGCTTTCAAAAACAGTTTGGGGTTCGGTGTGCGGGTCTTCTGTTTAATGGATAAGAGTAAATTCTAATGCCTTTGAGGACCAAACTATTGGTTACTGTATGTTAGTCCAAAAGCCCCTTTCCATTGCAATACACTCTACAGAGGGGTACTTTGCAGTGAGGATGGGGGGACAGAATGCTAAACCTCTTTCCTGTGAGGTGTTTCCTTATTCTCACTGCCACAATTGGATTCTACAACCGTGTTTGTAGTACATTTAAATCTAGAACATTGATGGGCAGGAAAAAACCAACCTGGCAGGAACCTTGGTTTTCTTTTAACTGTTGTTTCATTCAGGTTAAACTAAATTTATTCATTGCAGTTTAGCTCTGGCCCCAGCTTGTATCCAAGGATCACTTTGCTGCTTGGACAAGGAAGGGTACATCAGGTACCTCTCTACCCACTGCAGTTCCTCATACCCCCTGAAAAGCAGCTCCATGGCGTTGGGGGGCCCTCTGGAATACTATGGGATATTGTGCAGAGGGCTCCAGTAGATAGGGGTTGTGGCAAAAATCGGATGCTGCTGCTTTGCCCAAATGGTAGTGGGTTCCACTACTGGCAAAGCGACTATTGAAGACAGCCCGCTGGTACTTTAATATTAGAGGAAGAATGCAGTCATTTGTAGTAGCTTATTTGCTACCTCATTTGAATTACTTTTAGCGAGGGTTTGAAACAGGCCTGCAGTGATGTAGGGTTAAACACACCAGTTGCTTCTTAGTATAGCAATTTTTAGAACTTACTGACTAGGCATATGATGTAGCACAGCTACTTGCATGCGGACGTCATCGAAATCCGTAGTATTTGTGCATGTTTTAATGTAGTTACCAAAGAAAAGACAAATATGGTGACTAATATGCAGATCAGTAGGATAATCAGAACTTTTGGCCTTGGACAACAACATTATTATTTTTTTGTCAGAGCTTAGAAACCTGAGGCGTTCTCCAACAGCATTTGAGAAGCTGTGTAGGACCCTCCTTCCTTTGAGTCTTCTTCCAGGCTTGAAGCCTTACATCACAGAGTAACTGAAGCAAGAAGAGAGAATGAACAATTAATTGAATGTGTTGCTACTGAACAAGGTTATCTAATAACATGAAATAATCAGAAGCACATTAAAGTGCACTAGAACACATAATGTCACTAGAATCTTCTGATGAAGGAAGAAATGGATGCCACAGAAACTTAAAAGAGAGACCAAAATCAAATAAATTATCTATCTCTTCTGCTCTTCTGGTCCATGTCTCTCATCCCTCTGCAGTGGCCTGACAGCTGGCAGGGCAGATTTCCATGTCACACTGACGTATGTATGGGCCTCTGTGTATGAGGATGTGTATTTTGTAATGTGATAATGGCCGTGCCAGTCTGTCCAAATATATATGTTGCTCACTTACACATGTAAAAATATGCTGATGTCACCATCCTAACACTTTACCTTATTTATAAGAAAGTAACTGTGTATATGGAAAATAGTAAGGGCAGTAGGTTCAATTTTTTTCTTGGCAAAAAATAGCAACCCAATACTCTTTTTAATTTCTCTCTCTCTCTCTCTCTCTCTCTCTCTCTCTCTTTCGTTCTCTTTCTCTTTTAAAGCTGCTTCTGGGGCAAGGTAGAGTATCCTGCCCCAGTAAGTAAGCTGTACTCTCGCTTGTGAATTGTTTATCAGCAAAGACCTTCCCAGAGCATGTCTGTGATTACAAAGAGACTTTCCAACCATGACAGGATGGTGTGTGAAAAACTTCCAAACAGCTGTGTTTTTTAAGTTCTTAAAAATATTGATTTTATACATAAGCTATCACTGGATCTTGCAGTTACAGGAAATGTCCTCTGCTGCGAGTCTAAACCAACCAAACTCTGTGATGTAATAACTTCCCAATCTTGCAGGAAACATGTTTACTGTATGTTTTAGGTAAATTTTACTTTGGTCCACTTTGAACTGAGGTAAACTTCCGTTTCCAAAAGAAACAGAATTTCACTGAGAATCAAAGGTGGCCCTTGGGCGGTGTAATTTCAGTAGGCTGGTGCTGGAGTTCAGCAGTCTTTGGTTTTTTAAAACTATGGCTAAAGAACTAGGAATAGGACACAGGATTTTGTGCTCCCCTCCCATACATAGCCTCCTCCTTCTACCACCAGTCTTGAGGTAACCCTACCCTGTTCCTTGTTGTAATACATGCACTGATGTTTCTTCTTGGGCTGCTTAACCCATCCTTTTTTACCAAGACATTTAGTGGCTACTGTGCTAAGGACAATCCTATGGGACATGCCTACTTAAGAAATGAGTTCCTTTGTGTTCAGTGGGGTTACTCCCAGGTAAGTGAGTCTAGGATTGCAGCATTTATGTCAGTGTCCATACAATAACAAATGATGGTAAAAGGCAGTAAGGTGAGTGGAGAATGAGAGGAGGTTGTACAGTGGTACCTCGGGTTACGTATCCCTCTGGGATCTTCGGGTTGCGAATCTTCGGGTTGCGAATCTTCGCCTCATGTGCGTGCGCAGAAGGGTGCCTCCGGTTACGGACTTTTCGGGATACCGCCAGGCCTCCGGAATGGATGCCGCCCATAACCAGAGGTACCACTGTAATTCCAAAATCATGGCTAAGCAACCGCTACCATTAGATCTGTCCCACTAAGAAAACCTTTATTTCTTTCTTTAGTTCAACAATGTCTATACCATATAACAACATAGTTTCTAAGTACACAGTGAGGTTACAAAAGAGGTAGAGATGATAAAAATCAGTTAACATTACCCATCAAATCAGAAAAGCTTATTTAAAATGCCTCCTGAATATGTTTCTTTTTTAAAGTCCTTCACCAAGAGTCTAACGTGCACCAGGGGAGGGGGCTTGTGGTCTCAGCCAGGAGGGAGTTTCACAAAACTGGGAACCTTGCCAGAAACTATTCTGACTAGATCCTTTGAAGAATTATTCCTTATCAGCCTGCGTGCATAAATCACCTACTTCTTGTTGGTTTCCAACGCCCATCATCCCTGACAATTGGCCACGTTGGCCGAGATGGATGGGAATCTCGGACCAACAATATCTGGAGGCCACAGGTTTCCCACCTCTGACTTATGTGCTTCTGGGGTACAAATTGGCTGTGGCTCAGAACTTTTGTGCTGTGAATTGTGCAATAGTTTGGAGTTGGCAATAATTCAGAACTGTTTCACATGAACGTTCTGGGCTTCACTTGCCTTTGTTGAACCAGTGCTAAATTTGTTGTGCCAGTTCAGTATTATTTGTGTGATGTGCTACAGGCAAACCAGCTTTTCTTTTCTCCCTAGGCAGCCTTGGACCTTCTGACCACATCTTTAATTTAATTATGTTGTTTCATCCATGAGACTATAAAAAAAACCCCTGGCCTGTCGCTGTTTGAGGTCTTGTTGTGAAGTTGCTGTTGGCCATTTGCAAATTTTCTAAAGGGCACCTTGAACAGAGTTGAATAAGTTTGGGCAACTTTTGGCCAGAGTATTATTAAAGCTGCCAGGTTGTAAATCTTTTGAGATTTTGATTTGGCTGTAGTGTTCGAAGGCATGGAGCCAGCAAATTAAACACATGCCTATTCTTTCTCTTTGTGGCTTTATTACCTAGACAACAGTGAAGTGCTTTGTATGCTCTAAATGTGCAGTTTGATCTGAAATACTACTCAGTTTCTTTCTTTTAATTCAAACTTTCAGACCAAAGTATCATAGGAGTCTTTGTGATTTGTTTTGTTAAACAAATGAGATTCTTGTATTTTGAGGATTGTTCCTGTGGCTCCAGCTCACTGGAGATTTTGCTTGTGTGCACTCAGAGTGCTCTACTAATATATGAGCAGCACACCTAAGCATTTTGTGCTTTTAAAAAGAACTATCCTTCATTGAATTTGTCTCTCAGTAACTGTTAGCTAAATGGAGACAAACAGTGGGAAGTCTGTTACATTTGTGCCCTGCTTATAAGCTTCCCAATAGAGATCTGGTTGGTCACTGTTGAGAACAGGATGTTGGGTTAAATAGGTTAGCGGGCCAGTTCAGCAGGGACTCCTCTAATGTTATGTTCTTACTGCACTGCAGAGGATTCAACTATATGACCCTCAGTCCCTTCCAACTGCACAATTCTTTGATTCTATGTTTCCCTCTGAAGTAAATGCCGGACTTTATTTATTCTTTCTTTAAGCCACATGGAAGCAGTTTTAAAACTACCCCTGGTCATCAGCTGCTGTAACGTTTAAGAGCACCTTGCCATGTGGCCATCTCAAGTGTGTGGAGTGTCTCCATGTCCCCTGTGCTCACCTCTAGTGGTGTCGTGTGATAGGTGATTGTTACATGGAAAAACATCCAAATTTTTCTTGTAAAATGTGGAAACAGTTGTAAAATGGATGGGGCAGAAGTGGTAGAAGTCTAGTCAATTTGGGGGGTGTAATGGTGAGGGAGGACCTGAGGACCAAGAAGGTGGACTCTGCCTTAGCCTGAGAACAGGGGGATTAAGAAGCCCTTGAGAAAATTTTGGGTCTGTGGCAATCCAGGGTTTGGCAATGTAGTTATCTTTTCGTCATACACACTGGGCTCTGCTTCATCGGATATTCTTTTAATTATTTCATTGGACAGATTGATTAAAGAAAACAAAAAGCACCAGGAACTAATTTTGGGCATTTGTTCAGAAAAGGACGACTTAAAAGACGAATTGAAGAAAAGAACAGAAACTGAAAAACAGCACCTTGGCATTATTAAACAGGTATGGAGTTTTAGGCATATTCATGCCTTGTTCAAGATATTTCACTTGTATTTCTATTTGTACTTTCAGATACTTGGTTCAGTGTTCGTATTTCTTCATATACCTGTTGACTCAGAAGTGTCCCACGGAGTTCAATGAGTCCCAACTCTAGGCTGTGTATAGGAAGGTTGCTGCCTGAATTGCCTTGAACGTTTGTTTGGCAGCAAATATTTAGTGTTAGAGTGTTTTCAAGGGAAATAGTATATCTTTTATTTGCACTGAGATGTACATGGAAGCCCCTGGGGCAATATTTTGATTCTCTTTTTAATAGAGCATCATATTGCATTATACAGTGGTGCCTCGCAAGACGAAAATAATCCGTTGCGCGAGTCTCTTCGTCTAGCGGTTTTTTCGTCTTGCGAAGCAACCCTATTAGCGGCTTAGCGGATTAGCACTATTAGCGGTTTAGCGGCTTAGCGGCTATTAAAGGCTTAGCGGCTAAAAGGCGCTTAGCGGCTTAGAAAAAGGGGGGGGTGCGGAAAAAAATCGCAAGACTCGCAAGACGTTTTCGTCTTGCGAAGCAAGCCCATAGGGAAAATCGTCTTGCGAAGCAACTCAAAAATGGAAAACCCTTTCGTCTAGCGGGTTTTTCGTCTTGCGAGGCATTCATCTTGCGGGGCACCACTGTATGTCACTGTTTAGTTTTCCATGCTTACCAGAAGTAAAAGTGTGTTAAACTTAGGCTTGTAAACAAGGCTACAAAATTAACTACCCTGCCAGATGTTTTGTGTTTTTTAACTGTTAGACTCTGGGAGCTGTCAAAGGAGGGATCATCCCTCCAGCAGCCTGTAGGATTTCTGTGTTTGGCCCGACTGGGAATAGGGATGGAGTGCTTTGTCCCTTAGATATCAGATCGCTCCTTATTGCCTGTGGATACCAGATGAATACTTAAGACCACAGCTGTGCTGAAATTATTGTCAGAACTTGGAACCATGATCACTGGAACCATGATGGTGATGGCAATATGGTTTGATTTGCTGCCTTGGCAGGACCAGCACCACATAATGCATATTGCTGCTTTAGGTTGTCGAGATCTTTTGCAAACTGCTCCCAAAGTATAAATGCAATGACATTTTTAAAAACCTCTACTCAAGTTGCAAATTTTGCAGATCACTTTTTGGGCTCATGGTTGAAATACATAATGTTCTCTTTGCAGTTAGAGGCCAGAATAGAGGATCTCCAAAAAGAAGTTAAAGCTGCTAAAGATAAACTGTTATCCCAAGATGCTGCTGCGAAAAATGCCATACAACAACTGCACAAAGAGATGGCTTTTCGTACAGATCAGGTGACTCTTTTTTGTTTTGTTTTTGTTGTGCTTTCTGTAGGAACGTGAAGGATGATATAGGCACTGTATGCATTAAATATCTTCAAGTATTTAGTTGAAAGCTAAACATATTTTGGCTGGTGCTGATGACTGTACAGTGGAACTTCGGGTTGCGGACGTAATCCATGACGGAGGCACGTCCGCAGCATTCGCATCCTGAAGTGCCACATCTGCGCCGGCTCCAGTGCAATTTGGCACTTCTGTGCATGCGCAAAGCGTGATTTAGTGCTTCTGCGCATGCGCGAGCGGCGAAACCCGGAAGTAACCCGTTCCGGTACTTCCGGGTTTCCCGCGGTCCGTAACCAGAAAACACATAACCTGAAGTGTCTGTAACATGAGGTATGACTGTAGATGGATGTCAAGTCACTCATATAATCTCCGTTCTGGATTTTGAAATTGCTGAAGATGTGTCCAGAATACATCCTCTGAGACAAGCTTTTGGTTGTTGCAGCCATAGGTTATAATGTTACAAGGATAAAAGTTGGGGGTAGAGAGAACCTTGAAGGCAAGATGAGATATATTCCCATCCCGTGTGTGCATAGTACATAAGACACCTTCTGTTAAAACTAATATGGTGAGACAGTATTCAGCATTCCATTACTATTGGTGTTCTAGTACAGTGGACACTCGGGTTGTGAACGTGATCGGTGCGGGAAGCATGTTCACAACCCGCAGCGTCTGCGCATGTGTGGGTCGTAATTTGGCGCTTTGGCGCAAAGCGTGATTTAGCACTTCTGCGCATGCGCCAAAACCCGGAAGTAACCGGTTCCAGTACTTCTGGGTTTGGCACAGTGCGCAACCCGAAATTGTGCAACCCGAAGCGTCTGTAACCCGAGGTATGATTGTACTGTTATCCAGACAGATAGAGTGACTATCTTTTCACAGTTACCAATACAGTCATACCTCTTGTTACATTTGCTTCAGGTTGCGTGATTTCAGGTTGCGTCCTGCGATGACCTGGAAGTACCGGAAAGGGTTACTTCCGGGTTTCGCCGCTCGCGCAGACGCACAAAATGACATCATGCGCAGAAGCGGCAAATCGCGACCCGCAGACACGGGTTGCATTCTGCTCATGTTGCGAACGGGGCTCCAGGATGGATCCCGTTCCCAATCAGGTACCACTGTATAGCATAGTGTTGAGGCTGAAAGAGTGACGACTCTTACACTGCAGGGCGCAATCTGAATCCATTGTACTCATTTTACATGGATACAAATGGTGGGGTGGGGGAGAGTGGCAGAATAAGAAAGCGGATGGTCCTACCCATTGGTCTTCTACAGATTACTCCTCGAAAATGTTCCCCACAACAGAAAGAGAGCTTCTCATCCCTGTTCTAAAGGTTATTAAAATGGCATAACCCCATTGCTCTGAAATGTTCAAGAAAATGCAAGACACAAATGTGATAAGGGTTACAAAATACTATTTACTTATTTATCTGTATATTCTTGTTCCCTGTTATTTCCCCCTATTTTCCTCCATTCCATTTATTTAATTTACTTTTAGACTGCAAGCTGCTTTGACCAGCAACACATTTATTTTATCTGTTCTGGCTTTGAAAGGTTCAGATTAAAAGTCCTAGGTTGAGTCATATTTTCATTTTCTTCTTCCACCTCCTTTTCTACATTCCACTGGAAGCTAGGCATTCTTCGGTCATGAATTTAGATCACATTGCTTCAGTTGCAGCGATTTTGTATTCTTATTATCTTGACGAATGGGGAGAGGAGGCATATATTCACTCTCATTACCTAAAGTAAACTTGTAGTGTTTGATATTCTAAGGCAAACAAGAAATGTGAAGAAGCCCGCCAAGAAAAAGAAGCCATGGTAATGAAATACGTTAGAGGAGAGAAGGAGTCCCTAGACCTCCGAAAGGAAAAAGAAATACTTGAAAGAAAATTGAGAGATGCAAATAAAGAAATTGAAAAGCAAACTAACAAAATAAAGCAGCTTTCCCAGGAGAAAGGACGTTTGCACCAGCTCTTTGAAACCAAGGTATATCCACTTCATGTTGAGTTTCTTTTGTATTCCTGCGGCTTACCTTGAATTCCAGAAATGGGATTAAAATGCTGAAATGACCTGGCATCTCTTTCAAGTGAATGGGAAAGAGAATATATTGAGTCAGATGAAGTTGAGAGTTCTAGTAGAAAGGGGGCTGATTTGAATACAGTGGCAAAAAGCTACACTTCTATAGACCTTAATCCCAAATCGGGGTGTTGTATGGTGCATGATCAAATAAATATGTGGCATCTTTGTTTCTTCTTTATTTGGTTGAGGGGAGGAGAGATGAAGGTCTCCTTGCCTAGAAAACTTTTTAACTACCTAGAATGAAGATGCTCAATGTATATTTATATGTTACATGTAAAAATTAAGGTTGCAGTTTTGGGTTTCTAGCATAAATTTTTTAATATAGGTCCCCCCCCACAAATAATTATTTTCTTATATGTTTTTTACTTGCATATACTGACCATTGAGCTTTCCTGAAAGTGAACTCTAAGACAGAGGTGAACTGCTGACCCACACGGCTAATCTGGTCCACCAGTCCTTCTTTACCAGACTTTCACAGCCCTTGGCTCAGTTGACTGCTTCTTGCAATTGACAGCAGCTGGTTTAAACCTCTCTCTGTCTAGCCCAGTGCTGCGATGGGGATGGGAAATCTCATGCACTGCACTTCTCTGCTGATCTGCCTCCATCACTCGATAATTTTTCCAGGAAAAATAGTCCCATTAGAGTTCAGGACTGGACAAGTGGGCCCTGGAAGGTTTGGGGGTGGCGATTTTGCACTGCTTTATCGCTTCAGAGAATGATTTCAATACTATGAAGATTTTGCTGCCCCCACATGGTGATATTGATATTTTCCTTGACACTGGATTTCCTGGAAACTGTGTAATCATGTCTAAGGCATTTTTGTACATTAAGTTTAAATTGCTTCTGACTTATTATAAAGCAGTTGAAGAATGCAAAACCTACATTTGGCAGAATGTTTTTCCCCCAGTACAGATATTGTGTTGCTTTTTCTTTCTATTTTCCTCCAAATTACATGTATTCACAATGCCAAATGAGGAAACAAATGACCTCTAAAGCTAGATAAGGAAGAGAAAGAGGAAGGATGAGGGGAAAGACAAGGAAGGTAGGAGGAGGAAAAGATGAAGTGAGAAGTTGGGGCAGGGTAAACACAGGATTTGAAGAGCTCTCAAGAATTCAGATGTGATACCTTATTATATATATTTGTTGCCATAATATATGACACGAAGCATTGCATTATCAATAGTCACATTAGATTGCAAAACAGAAGTTCAAAGACTTTTCCAGAGATGAGACCTTTTCAGCGTGACTGTCATCGTTCAGTGACAGGCAAGCAGAATTCCCTGAAGACAAGAAGACTACAAATACATTTTGTTCCACTCCAGTGAAATCATTGTGTGCATGCTTAACTCCCCACTGCTTGCAGAAAGGTCGCTTGTATTTCTGCCGCTCTGGGCCTATCCATTTAAAAGGCTTCATTTCAAACCTAATAATCTAAAATTATTCTTTTCAAGGAAGCTGAAGCCACCAGAATGTCAAGAGAAATAGAGAAATTAAAAGAAGAAATGAACTCTCATGTGATCAAAGTAAAATGGGCCCAAAACAAATTGAAGGCTGAAATGGATTTACACAAGGTAGGTGTGCTAATGTTATCGAGGGACATTTTCACTGCAGCTCCTATGTCTCTTTGTAAAGCATGTGGTACAAGGTTTGATTGGCTGTTGCTGTGAATGTAGGACAAGTTGATTAACACAATGGGAGCGTAACTGGAATGAGAGTGGGGTTTTTTTAATGATGCTATTCAGTGTCTGCGTGTAATCGGAGCAATGAAAGTTGGGTAAAAGGTTGAGAACTGGCATGAAATGAAAACCTATAAACTTAGCAGTGTAGTTCTGCTGTAATTCTGTGCAGGAGACCTCCTCTTCTGGATCAGATGAGTTACCGGTGAAAGATTTTTGGGTTGCACTAAACACTTCACTAGTGACGGGGGTGGCACTGTGGTCTAAACCACAGAGCCTAAGGCTTGCTGATTGGAAGGTCGGCGGTTCGAAACCCCACGACGGGGTGAGCTCTCGTTGTTCGGTCCCAGCTCCTGCCAACCTAGCAGTTCAAATGCACATCAAAGTGCAAGTAGATAAATAGGTACCCCTCCGGCGGGAAGGTAAACGGTGTTCCCGTGTGCTGCTCTGGTTCGCCAGAAGCGGCTTAGTCATGCTGGCCACATGACCCGGAAAAACTGTCTGCGGACAAACGTTGGCTCCCTTGGCCACTAAAGCAAGATGAGTGCTGCAACCCCAGAGTCGTTTGCGACTAGACTTAACTGTCAGGGGTCCTTTACCTTTACCTTTTTAAACACTTCACTTGGTGGGGATGGACAAGTAGGCATTTCTTAGTATTGTGAGGCTAAAAAACGTTTCAAATTCATAGTGACCCAATAGTCAAGAATTTAGCACATCAAACAGTTTCACACAGACTGCTCTTGGATAATAATGGGATCTTCATCCAGTGTCTGCTGGTTAATAAATATAATGTTCAACAACCATATCTTAGGTATGGGGTGGTGGTGTTGTGATAATCGGATATGCCCTTGGTTGCTTAAGGAAAGCAGTGAAGGCTTGCCACCCCATCCTGTCCACGTTTGTTCAGACACTGGTCCTTCTGACGTCACTGAAGTTTACTCTCAAAATAGGTATAAATGAGATTACAATCTAAGCCTTTATGTTCCTTCGTTTCCAAAGAATTTAGCTTTATTTATTTTTCTATTGGATTTTTAATTTCGTCCTCTGCTGCTGGCATTAAGCAGGAATTTTGTCATTTCCATGCAGTCCTGAACTTACTGTCGTTGTTCTACATACAGTGGTACCTCGGGTTAAGTACTTAATTCGTTCCGGAGGTCCGTTCTTAACCTGAAACTGTTCTTAACCTGAAGCACCACTTTAGCTAATGGGGCCTCTTGCTGCCACCGCGCTGCCGGAGCACAATTTCTGTTCTCATCCTGAAGCAAAGTTCTTAACCCGAGGTACTATTTCTGGGTTAGCGGAGTCTGTAACCTGAAGCGTATGTAACCCGAGGTACCACTGTACTCATTTAATGGTAGCTAACCATTGTTTATTGGTTTTCCAGGACACCAAAGATCGGCTTAAAGAGGCAACCGCAAAAGTCACTCAAGCGAAAGAGGAAGCTGAGCAAATACGAAAGAACTGCCAAGAAATCATAAAAACATATCAAGTGGGTATAATGTTACATGAAGCAAAATTAAGATGTTGAACTTGTATATAGGTTTTCTTTTCTTGCATGTCCCACACTCACCTCTAGCCCTATAGCTGAAATGATACAATTCTTTCCCAAAACCTATCTGATCTAATGTCATTTCTAAATTAATTAATTGTCCTGGCACAGGCAAATCCAGATACGTTGCTTGCTATTTCATCTTACTCTAGCCATATGTTCTGATCTTCTGCACTATCGCATCCAATAGAAAGATCTTTCTGTTGTGCTGAGTGTGCATAATATTATAGTTATTTTTTAGCCACCATACAACCCAGAGGTACTGACCTAAGGTATAGTGAACACCTGTGTGTGGTAAGGCTAGGGACCAAGGATACTAACTAAGTTATGCCCAAGACTCCTTAAGTGGCATGCCATAGCCACCACCCAGCTTTTCTCAGGGCTGAGTTTTTTTCCTCCTTTCAGGTGAGAAATCTTCAGTCCCAGTCTAATGGAGGGCACTGGTTCTAATCTTTCTATATGACAGAACATATGCAACGTCTAGAAATAGTATAACCTTTTTCTTTTCACATCCAGAGAGTGCAGGTTTCAATATCCACACACACTTAGTTTTCAAAAACACAGTTCCTGATCAGGTGATCTCATAACTCTCCTGCCTGCAATAAGCATGTCCTTCCTTATTCTTGGGAGACTGAGGGGTGACATTACACAAAGAAAGAGAGTCTGTTGAGTGGCAATAACATCTGATGTCATTCCTCTGCCTCCTTATTTATCCTTGGGGATATTGATTGCAGGAGAGAGCCATTCTGTATCTTGACCACACATATGCTTTCCCAGTGTAATGTCTGAATGGGGGAGCATATGCATGTCCCTCGTGGCAAATTGCACATAGTCCACACACATCTGGTATCTTATGTTTGTTGTTTCAGAGTGATTGTCTTTCCCTTTTGCATGTTACTCACAGTGCTAAAAGCAGTGATCTGTTTCCAAGCTTGACTAAGCTCATAGTGTTTGGACTGTAAGTCTGGGATAGATGATTGTAACATAACTTGTACAATAAGGTCTTTTCAGTTTATGAATTGGCATGTGAAGATTTAATAGTGCTCATTCCCTCTCCTTAGGAGTCTGAAGAAATTAAATCAAATGAATTGGATGTAAAACTCCGACTTACAAAAGGAGAGCTGGAAAAACACTTGCAGGAGAAGTCTGACCATCTAGAGGTAAAATATATTACTCGCTTCAGTGGTTGCATTTTAATGAGGGTTAAGGCTCGTACTGGGGGGGGGGAGAGTATAGTGGTGGGTCCAAATCATAATTGCTATGTAGATTAAAGTGGACAGGATTGGATCCCATTTTCCTCCACGTTGTATGCAGAATTGTCATTTTTCTCTTTCGAAGGTACATCATGCCAAAATAAAAGAACTTGAAGATGTGAAGCGAACTTTTAAAGAGGGTATGGATGAGCTACGAACTCTAAGGACAAAGGTGAGAGAGAAGAATTCCTTGTAGCCAAAAGAATGAAAGCAAAGCAAACTGTATTATTTACCTGGATAATTTGACCAGATAGATCAGTGCAAATTTGACTTCCAGGGACCTGATGGTTCTGTACGATATATAATGGCATTGTACTAGCAGCAAGTCCAAGAACTAAAATAATGTGGTACAACCACTTCATCTCTTGTTTCCTGCATTGCTTGTTACAGTGGTTGAAAAGTAGTATTTCAAGTGCCCTTCTAAAGTAAGAAGTATCGAACTTGGCAACAAGTTCAGAGGATTTGGGCCAAACATAGTCTCTCAAAAAAATTATTGCAGCAGGCATTTCTTTGGTGCCACCATCCTTTTCCTGACCTTGACGTTTTCCTTCTGGAGTTGACATGGCAGCTGTGAGAAGATTTAATTTCCCCAAGCAAAGGAAAGAGTTCCTGAATGGCTAAGAGAGCTGCTTCAGGGCCATGATCAGCTCTTTCGACTTTGAATTCAAGTACTGTCACTGAAATGGCTCCGGTGCTACCACAAAATTTATTTTTTGTACAACAGGCAGATAGGGCCAGGAGGGAGAAGGGAAGTGGAGCTAGGTATCATATTTGGAGTCGCATTTGATTAATTCCATACGGATATATGATGTACATTATTTGCTGATTTATGTCGTGATAAAATGTAAAAATTTTAGTTTTCAATTGTTGTTCTGAAAAATGTAATAAATGGCATCATCTGTCAGTAGAGCCTTCAAACTCCCCTAAAATCAGGTAGGAAACCTGTCTGTTGCTAATTTCCATTAGAGAGCCACCAATTCACAAGATGTTAAAATGTAATACATTTGCATTTCACTATATCTCCTAAGCATTTAGGATGCAGGGCTATATCTGTGCCCCCCCCTGCAAAGTTTAGGAGGGGGGGGGGAACTTACTGCTTTATATTAAAAGCTGGTTACGATTCTGCTGAGTTCAGGCAGGTGGTGGTTCTTTTTTCTTTCCTTGCCATACTTTCCACACACTTTGTTAAACTGTAACTAACAATGCCTGGAGATCAGGTGGCTTTTTCTCTTAACTTTAAAACCCCAAACCCTGAAAATGACAAGTAATTATACTTTTGTCAGAGCACTTTCCCAAACAGATCATGTCCCTTCTTGTAAACAGATAGGTAGGGAAAGAATTCTTTAAATGAAGAAGTCGATGACAAAAGCAAGATTAGGATGGGGGAGAAATAGGTTAAGTTTCAGGTACCTTGTGTCTGTGCAAGTTAAATGAAACGAAATCTTAATGTTTATACAACACATATATATATATATATATATATATATATATATATATATATATATGCTTTCGTAGATTTTCACGGGTACAGGAATGCAGGTTTTGGTGTCCTCGGGTGTCTTCCCGTGTAAAAGTTGGGGTGTCTAGGCGACGTTTCGACGAGGTCTCACTCGTCATCTTCAGGCTGGTGCTTTCGGCTTCTTGTTACTGGAACAGAGCAGGATCTCAGTGTTTGAGTTCCTATAAATACTGTTGAGGGGGTGTGGTGTATAGCCTCCAATGTTCTGGGCAGAGAGGAAGTTCCCAGGCTAGTGTGCCTTTTCTTCTTTTGTTCCTTAATTACTTGAGGGATATCTTGAGTGATTTCTTGAGTGATATCCTGAGTACCACTTAGGTGGGTCATTAGGTGTGGATTAGTTGCTAAAGCCTTCGTGTCCACACCTAATGACCCACCTAAGTGGTACTCAGGATATCACTCAAGAAATCACTCAAGATATCCCTCAAGTAATTAAGGAACAAAAGAAGAAAAGGCACACTAGCCTGGGAACTTCCTCTCTGCCCAGAACATTGGAGGCTATACACCACACCCCCTCAACAGTATTTATAGGAACTCAAACACTGAGATCCTGCTCTGTTCCAGTAACAAGAAGCCGAAAGCACCAGCCTGAAGATGACGAGTGAGACCTCGTCGAAACGTCGCCTAGACACCCCAACTTTTACACGGGAAGACACCCGAGGACACCAAAACCTGCATATATATATATATATATATATATATAACAAGGGGACGTACACAATAAATACAGAATGCTACAATATGATCAATAAAGTTTGGCTGGTAAAAAGAAATCAGATTTGAAAGACCTCTGCACCTAAAAGAAGGCACCAGGTATGCTAGTGGCAAGGCGTACCACCAGACAAGGCCTGCCATGTTGATGGCTTGGTCCCTTGTCAAGGGGCATGGGGCACTACTGAAGTGTCCCATCAGAACAACTCAGTGAGTGATGTGGCACATAAGGAATCAGGTGGTCCTTAAGCCTGGTAGCAAATTGGCAACTGATACAGCTCTCTCAGCAAAGCAGTAAAATGTTGCCAGTAATCTGCTCCTGTGAGTACTGTAGTCTGGTCTTTGCATCCTCAGATACAAGGAGAAGCACTGTGTAAAGCGTTTGTGATTCAAAAAGCTAATAAAATCTACCAGAAAGAATGAAATGTGCCATTTACATTAACAAGTTCTCTTGTTTTTAGGTCAAGTGTCTAGAGGATGAACGATTGAGAACAGAAGATGAATTATCAAAATACAGAGAAATTATTAATCGCCAGAAGGCTGAGATTCAGAATCTGCTGGACAAAGTGAAAACCATAGATCAGCTCCAGGAGCACCACCAGAGGTAAGATAGTTACATTTTGGTTTTATAGAGCAGATTTTTAAAATATATATATTATACTTAAAGAGTACTGTTCTTTTAAACGGCCTCGGTCCTGTATACCTGAAGGAGCATCTCCACCCCCATCGTTCAGCCCGGACACTGAGATCCAGCGCCGAGGGCCTTCTGGAGGTTCCCTCATTGCGAGAAGTGAGGCCACAGGGAGCCAGACAGAGGGCCTTCTCGGTAGTGGCGGCTGCCCTGTGGAATGCCCTCCCATCAGATGTCAAAGAGATAAATAATTACCTGACATTCAGAAGACATCTTAAGGCAGCCCTGTTCAGGGAAGTTTTTAATATGTAACGCTGTACTGTTTTTAACACTGATTGGGAGCCGCCCAGAGTGGCTGGGGAAACTCAACCAGATGGGCGGGGTATAAATAATAAATTATTATTATTATTATTATTATTATTATTATTATTATTATTAACAAATAATTGATGCTGCCACCCAACTTGTGTACAATCCAAGCAAAGTTTTGTGTGGTATAAACCTTACTGAATGATTTAACCTTGGACATGGCATATAATATTTTGTTGCTGTTTGACATTTCTAGAGTTAGCACCAACTTCAGTCCAACTTAGTCATTTCACTATGTCAGAGAAAGAAAGTTTTTAAAAAGAAGTAGTTTGATTTGATTATTCAAAACTACATGTTTATGTTTAATGTTGTGTTAAAAGCATAGGATTTTAAGCTATTTTAAGAAAACTATTGGACCCTTATCCAGATTCATAGTGACTGAGTGAAAATACAAAAGTCTTCACCTGGCGATGTCCTTGGACTCTGGCTAGTCCATGTTCTTAAAATGAATAAAATAGTTCAGTTTTGTTTTTTTAAAAGTCATTTACTTACTATCAATGGATCTCAAAACTGTTTACATCAAAAAATCATAGTACAGTATATAGGTATACAATAAGCACAAGCTCCACAATTTTTAAAAAAGTATCTAGATATGCAGTAAAGCACAATACTGATGAATGTAACAATCATATCAATATAGAATTCAAAAAACCAGAAATACCTGCATAAATTTTTTAACCCTAAATCTCAAAAATGTGCTAGTCACACAACTGCTCTCATAATCTCTCACTTTCATCAATCACGTCCACATACAGCTTAATGAAGTTTATTTTTTTAAGTACACATCATTTAATCAATCCCTTACACTCAACAGCCAGTAATAATCCAGTACACCAATTATTAATAATCAGTCACAGCCATCAACCAATAGGAATCAAACTCATTTCAACAACTTCAATAAACCTAGTTCACCCTCACTGAACTAACCGGTACTCCTTCCTGCTTCTCAGCTTGGTGGGTGGGATGGGTGGGCAGTTCTAAACCAGAGCAGGAGGCTCTCACCCTGGAAGGGGCAGTAAGAAGTATAAAACTTTTGGATAACTCCAAACAATAACATTATAACAGATATGGTGCTCCAACAACCCTACCACATAACTAATCCACATTACAATGCTGGCAACAAATGTTACACTGTTGATAAATAATAAACACCATGCTAGTGAAAACGTGACACAACATTGGGGTGGTTGTACCCACACCTTCATGGGAGCCTAAAAGGTATCAGTCCTCTGATAAAACCTTGAAACATCCTTTGTTCAGGTTTTTTTGGGGGGACCTTTGGCCCACCCCATGTGGCTGAACTACAACTCTCATCAGCCCCAGCAAGTATGGGCAGTGGTGAGGGATGATGGGAGTTGTAGTTCAGCATCATCCAGAGAGCTCAAGGTTTTCCACACCTGCCCTATACATATTATCATTTTTAGTTTCAACAAGGCGTTACTGTTACAAAACAAATTTTAATACAAACTTTAACAAGAAATTTTAAAATGATTTATTTTCCGACACCCCCCCCCAAAAAAAAAATCATTGTGGCATGTTGGCTAGAGTAGTAAGACTTAGGTATGGTAAACCCAGAAACCCAAATAGTGTGCAGGTCGTTATCTTGGTCTAAATCTTTGCAGACTACTTGTGACAATAAAAATGTGGTAACTGCAAATCTGATCTAAAATAAATTATCCTATAGTTAATAGTTTAAAATATCCTTCTCCTTGTTACTCCTCACTCGATCACCGTGAATTTGTAGCTCCAGATCCATCACATTGACTCCACTTTCTCAAGAACTTCCCCACCTCTTTCTTTCCATTTTGAGTCTCTCTCTGTTTGGCTTGTTATAAACTGTTTGCATAGGCATATTAAAATTTCACCTGTTTTTAAAAATAAAAACCTCCATTTCTCTGCATTTTTCTTCAATAATTAATCTGCATCCCTTCATCCTCTTCATCTCCTTGAAAAGTGCCTTGTTTTCATACCATGCAGTCTTTGACCTGCGTCCCAGTCACAATTTTTTGTCTTCCTTAAAAGAACAGTCAATTAAAATAACAGACTGTGTAATTGCTCCTTGTTTAACATCAGCAAGACTCCATTTAATTACAGTGGATTTACTTCTAGAATTCAGACTTGGAAATTACAGAACAAACTAACTTACGGGTGACCGAAACAAAAACATCTGTGCACAATCATGTTTCCATATGGTGCGGGTGAACTAGGGCCTTGAGTATATTTTCTTGGTGTTAAATGTGTTGCATACTGAATATAGGAGAACATCATATAAATAGAGAACCACCCACACAGCCCAGGGCACTTGTAAGCAATAATTATCTGAGATGTAGCAATGTTTCAACAACTCTCAACCTCCCTTAGGATTTGTAGAACTGAGCATTTGCATTTCTTCCAATTAACATGGCAACATTGGCTTTTTCTTGGAAATGTGCAATCACAGTGCCTGCAATTTGCAACTTATGAGTAACATCTTAATGATCAAAGTGAATCCCAAAATGAAACATTCCTTCATTTTGAAGTTAAAAGCTTTAACTATATGCCATCGTGACTGTGAGCTACAGCACTGGTTTCTAGCATTTATTTCACTTTGCAATAATGATTTGCTCAAGTAAACAGTCAGTGTCCAAAAATATGTATCTTGTATAGCAGAGCAGGCCTAGACAACACCAGGACTAATGCAGCCATGAGCACAATAGCTTTAACTGCAAAGTGTATATGAATTGTGCGGACTATCAACTAGAAACTGATAGTTGCCTGTCTAGTTTGAACTCCTCTTCTCACATCTCAAAATGATGTCCACTCTTGATTTCAGAGATGAACAAGAGATTAACTCCTTGAAGGAAGAAGTGGGCAGTCTCAACTCTCTGCTTACTGACTTCCAGAAGGACATTGATGGCAGCCGGAAAAGAGAATCGGAGCTATTGGTCTTCACTGAAAAGCTGAGTACTAAGAACGCCCAACTGCAGTCGGAAACCAACTCCCTACAAATGCAAGTAGATAAGATCACCTACAGCGAGAGAGAGTCTCAGAATCAGCTGGAACTAGTGAAGCAAGCAAGAGATGAACTGGTAAATCAGAATTTCAATTAATTGGTTAAGGCTTATGTCAATTAATGTTTTTAATTAAACCCTAAGCCCTGGAATAAGCCTGGATGTATTCCTGCTGCTTCTGCTGTTGCTCAATAAGTGGCATAATTAAAATAGAGATGCTACAGTGGGGCCAAAGCACGATGAAATAATTCCTGCCTACCTGAAGAAAACCTTGAAAATGTCATCAGCCCCTGCCTTTGAGCCAGTCAGCCACTCAGCACAAAGGCAGATGCATCTTACTATATTTATAGTGAATAGGAGAAACCCTGCTTCTGTGTGCCACTGCTGAAGCCAAATTTGGCAGATTTCTTCTTGGGGAGGGGGGTGCTATTTGAATAAACATGGGGCAGTCTGAATAGGAAAAATACACAGCCAGATACACAATGCTCATTATAACTGGCCCGTTAACCGGCTTGACAGGTAGTGGCTGTGGATGACGGGTAAGAAGCATTGCACCACAAATGGTTTAACAACTGAAGGCTGTGCCTCCTGCTGTAAATCGAAATAGTATGATCTCACTTTAAGGAAGTGGTGGCTGGTTCTCCAGCCTGGTTACTGGGAGTTCTGAAAGTCTTGTATGCCTCGTGCAGTCCTCTGGTGCTTCCTTGAGCTTCCTTCCTTGTGCATCTTGTTGGCCACCTAATGTAGATTGCAAGTTTTCTGGCAGGTTGGCTTCTATGCAACGTCCGAGCCCATTTGAAGCATTAAATAAATGCTTTGCAGTATGTGAAATGAATATATACAAGCTTACGTTTCAGAAATTGGAAACTGGAATCACATATAGCATAACATGGGCAGCAAAGCTCCAAATTCTCCATAACTGTGGGAGGAAATAGGGCCTGTGGAAGTATGAATGCTTGTACTTCATGACACATGGGGACAGTTAATCTGATCTTCCCGTTCCTCACAACAGATTCTTATATTCCATGACAACCATATTCTTCAAAGCCCCCAGGAACAATATAGTGGACTGGAATATAAGCAGTTGGTATATTGGGTCTTTTTTCCCTTCTTTTTTCTTTTTTTTGCAATGAGTTTTAAAATTGTATTAAATACTCAGTGGGCAATGGGAAAAGCAAATGATAACACATCATAATTTGGACTGTATAAATATATGTGTTTCATTTTATAAATTCAGGCAAGTAAATTGCAGAAAGAAGAGGAACTTCACAGAAACAATGTTCAAGCGTTGCAGGCAGAATTAGCATCTCAACAGAAAGCATTAGCAGACCTCAACACTAAAGCAGATGAATTAAAAGATGAGTTGGTTACGCAGAAGCGAAAGCATGCTGCAAATCTGAAAGACCTCACCAAGCAACTTCAGCAAGGTTAATATTTCTCTGACCTTGATTTGTATGGCTTTTTCCCAAAAACATTAGCACTGCATCAAATAATTTATGGTTTGTTCCCTTAGCACGAAGAAAATTAGATCAGCTTGAAAATGGCAACTTTGATAAAGATGTCAGCAGTATGGGGAGTCGTTCTAGCTCATCAGGTAGGTCGTTTGATTAGTCTCATCAATTATTTATTTAAAAAAACCTCTACCAAAATCATGGCAATAAAACATATTGTAGTTCTCAAAGTATATTTTCACCAGCATGATTTTCCCCAACCACGCCAGTTACTAACAGTTATCCCCCACCAGATTATAATATACATGAACCCACATCTGTTGGGATTTCGTATCCAACCAGTTCTATATTATTTATAGTAAATAGTAATTCACGGTAACTTTTTTTTCTTCAGTGAAAAAAAGCACATTGGCTTATACAAGGAATGGATTACAATAACTGCAGTGCTTAATAAATGACAGTAGTTGATGGCAGTCATACTTTATTACAGAAATAATTTATCTAGAACAGGTCTTGTGTATTCACTTTATCAGGCAATTGGAAAAAGAAAACTCATCGGGCAACTTTAACTGCTCAAATGTCTGCTCTAATGTTCCAACCATTAATTTGCTCTGAGGGTTCTGAATCTCGAATACAATTGCAGTTGTGTGAGGCTACCATGAAATAATGGAATAGTTCTTGGAGAGTTTGACCCTAGCATTTATAGCTTGCTGATTCTTTATATCTTCCTGACTATGTGTTCGATGGCAAATACAAATCAGTTACCTGTTTAGTATTGCTTCCTTGGAAGCTGGCAGTGCACAAATGAAAAATCAATTCATGTTTTACAACAGTGAATCTGCTGCTTTAAAATTCATTGCCTCTCTATTACTTTGAACATGGAGTGGAATTATCTGTCTGTGTAGAGGCCTGCCATCATCTTACAAGGTCTGTAAGTGGCGTCAAAGGCTCTGCACAAATCTAAATGTTTTGTTTTTTCAACCTCCATCATATTTCCATTTTAGTAGTCAAAAAGGTGAGGCACTCGTGAATTTGACCAGATTCTAAACTGAAACAACACTTTACATGGTAAAGCTTTGGCACAATTCTGAATATGTTTGTTTAACAATCAGGGTGATAGTCACTTGTAATAGGACCTTCCTTTACAGTGGGCCACAACGGTGGATCTCAAAAGCTTCTTTAAGTGTCCTTAGCAGAACCCATCCCCCTGTGATTTTTAATAGTTATTATAAATTTGGGTTGCTTTGCTGAGGTCTGCCTGAGTTCTATAGTTTGTCTGTACTAGTCTTGATTATTTTAATTTATTAAATTTATATACCACCTCTCATCAAAAGATCTCAAGGCAATTCACAACCTCAGGGCAGTTTAGGTTTTAGTACTATTATGAAATGGGTATTTTAGATTTTCATACTGCATTTTATATGTTAGCCATTTTTGTGGAATATTATGTCAAAATGCAGATTAAAATCTTTTATAATCCATAACTTTTCTTTATTTGACTGAGAGCCATGCATTGCAATTAAGATGTCATTGGTTTTGACAGGATCGCTTAATGCTCGAAGCAGTAATGAAGATCGCTCGCCAGAAAACAGTGGCTCTTCAGTAGCTGTGGATCATTTCCCTGAAGTGGACAAGACCATCTTGATTGAGAGAATAGTAAGGTTACAGAAAGCCCATGCTCGGAAAAATGAGAAGATGGAGTTCATGGAGGATCATATCAAACAGCTGGTTGAAGAAATCAGGAAAAAACCAAGTATGTACAACATCTGGTCCATTTGGTAATCAGTTTGAAAAAATACAATGCAAGATGCTGTGTTTAAAGTTAACACTGGTACAGTGGTGCCTCGCAAGACGAAAAGAATCCGTTCCGCGAGTCTCTTCGTCTTGCGGTTTTTTCGTCTTGCGAAGCAAGCCCATTAGCGGCTTAGCGGATCAGCTGTTAAGCGGCTTAGCGGCTTGGGAAAAAGGGGGGGGAGGAAAAAAACCCTGCAGGAACTCGCAAGACATTTTCGTCTTGCGAAGCAAGCCCATAGGAAATTCGTTTTGCGAAGCACCTCCAAAACGGAAAACCCTTTCGTCTAGCGGGTTTTCCGTCTTGCGAGGCATTCGTCTTGCGGGGCACCACTGTACTCTGTATGGTAGCTGGATAACTTCATCAGGAATGGAAATGGTGCCAGACACCTCAATATAGCCCCAATGTATTTCCATGTTTTTCAGGGTGAGGGTGGAGGGCACGCTTCTGCAATGAAAGTTTCCTCCATTTCTCATATATAGGCGCTAATTTGGTAAACGAAATATCTTAATAGTAAACAGAACTTACCATAGAATTAAACTAAAATAGCAATGTTAATTAAACTGTAGTGATTCAAAGCTAATTATGTGTGTTGACGTATGCAAAGTAGTCTGTGCTGTTTTTTAAAAAAATCTGATTTGAACGTGAATTCTGAAAGTGCTTCCATAGCAATTTGCTGTTCTCTTTAATTACTACCTTTCATGCAAATTGAATCTTAGCAAATTACCGACTGGGAAGCATTAAGCCGAAAGTTTCCTTCACTATTCTTATGCTGGCAGATGTTAGACACTAAGCTCTTCACCTTTGCAAAAGAAAAAAAAAACACACGGCACAGTTAATTTGCACGAGCTGTTTCAGTTTGAAGCTGCTAAGTAGTTGTGTAGCACACATCGCTGCAGCAAAGTGTACTGTACACCTACTTTCAGAATACAGTACACGATTGCTAAAGACACAAGCTGGAATCTATTTGCACTTGGTGACACTTGGTGTCATGAAGTCAAATAATTTTTGTGAGTTCCTCACTTTCTTCTTCACAATGAGAACAATACAGTGGTACCTCGGGTTACATACGCTTCAGGTTACAGACTCCGCTAACCCAGAAATAGTGCTTCAGGTTAAGAACTTTGCTTCAGGATAAGAACAGAAATCGGGCTCCGACGGCGTGGCGGCAGCAGGAGGCCCCATTAGCTAAAGTGGTGCTTCAGGTTAAGAACAGTTTCAGGTTAAGAACGGACCTCCAGAACAAATTAAGTACTTAACCCGAGGTACCACTGTATAGCCAACTCTCATTAGTTGGAGACTACTTCAGCTAAACTCCCTAAGAAATGTACATATGATGGCTCTTAGAGTTAACAATGAGGACAAAATTTGGGAACACTAGTTAGTTTGGCTCTGCAGGCCACTGCTTGACATCTGACCAAGTTTGTTTCCTTTTAACAGTGATGGTGATTCTGGGGACTATATGCCCAGTTGGAAACTGCTAGGACATGATGCCACTTCTAAAAGCAGTTTTGTCAATTTAAATATCTTGAGGTTTTTGCTGGTGCCAAGACTAGCCGTGGGGAATTATGAGCTGCTATTGTGTCTCGGAAGAAGACCACAGCTAGTTTGGCTAGGAAAGTTGCCTTTAAATATATAAAACAGCATGGTTTGAAGTATTTTTGCTCTACCTAGAAACTATTCTTAATAAGGTAGTGTTCCCAATGTAACATTTTTATAGAGCAATAATAGCATTTCTCCCACTGAGTTCACTCTGTGACACTCTGCGTGTAGGGACAATGCTGAGTTAGATGGACTAATTTTCTGACAGGACAAATTAGCTGCCTGTGTTCTTTCATGTTGTCACTATCTTACACTGTTTTACTTTCTACAGAATAATCCAGAGCTACATTTTGAGGGAAGAAGCTGGCACATTGTCATCTGAGGCCTCTGATTTCAATAAAGTGCATTTAAGTAGGCGTGGTGGGATTATGGCCTCTCTCTACACATCTCACCCAGCAGACAGCGGGCTCACTTTGGAACTCTCTCTGGAGATAAACAGGAAGCTCCAAGCAGTCCTGGAGGACACTTTATTGAAGAATATTACCCTGAAGGTAATTTGAAATAGAAAATTAGAATACATCATGCTTTTCATTGCACCTTGGTTGTTGTTTTTTAAGTGATGGTATATGACTGCAAGCTATTATAGAAAAAGCCTTTTAGACATGCTCTGAACAAAGTTAAAATATCTAGGCAGACTGTCATGTGCACCCTGAAGTGAAATAATTTTGAGTAGATCTATCCTTTCTTTCTTACTAATGTGTGCAGGTTTCAAATTGCAGTGGACTTGAATTCATTAAACCTTGAAGACAAGGCACTGTTTTTTTGTTTAATTGGGTATCATAAAGTCCGCTAATATCCCCCTCTATTTTCTTCAAAGGAAAATCTGCAAACACTAGGAACAGAAATAGAACGGCTAATTAAGCAGCAGCATGAACTGGAACAGAGACTGAAGCAAACATAGCTGAGAGCAAGACCAAGGAGTCAGAAAAGACAGGTGCTCCATACCCTGTTGGTATATAACCTGGATATCCGCCAGTGTCTTCTGTCAATCCCATAAAGCTTTAATAAAGCAAACTGGAGTATGTTTATGAGCGAGGTTTACAAGGCCCAAGGCCCAGCGCTTGCTTTGCCTGAAGTGATGGAAAACTCTTGGTGAACTTTTCTGAACGCTATGTGCATCCATATTGCTTTTCACTGAAACAAGATATCCACATGCACCATTTTATGCACTTATATTTAGAGAGAGAGAGAAAAATAATTCTGCTTTGTGCAACTACAGTACCCTGTTAATGAAGAAGCGTGGTGGAAGGAAAGACTCTTGGGTTTTGCAGTTCTTGGGGGTGGGTAGTGATGGAGAGGGTTGTCCATTGGACATATTAAACTTATTGCCCTCCAGAGGATATATGTCTGGGGGAAACCAAACACTCACACACATGCACTTCCTCTCTTGGATTTATTTAAATTGGTTGATTTTATTTATAACATGCATTGGAAAAGACTTTCATAGTAGACTGTTCTCTAAGGACATGGTACTGCATATTTTATCAATTGGAGACGAGAGATTTTTTTTAAAATCCCTGCTGACTTCTTGGATATGAATTGGATTATTATTATTTTTTAATTAAAGAGAATAATTGAAAGAGAAACTTCTGCAGCTAATTGGTGTGAGCTGTTGAAACCAGGCTTTCACCTACAGAGATTGCTAATAAAATACAGAGCTATTTATTATTTGAACCCTTGCAAGGCTTTGTAAATTTAAATGGAAATAGCAGTTGCATGTGTGTGCTGTGGCATAAACATATACTCTTGCTACTTTATCGCCTGTCTCGTATCTGCCCATGTACTGGCAAGGCCATACTTCTCCATGGGTGGAAGAAGGAAAAGAGGTATTTACTAGGGAACTTAAGTTGTCTATACACTACAAAACTATGGTAGTCTGCTACTAGAAATGACTACATACAAGCTTTCTTAAGAATGGTGAGTGACAGCTTGTGACCCTCCATGTCTTGTTGGACTCTTAACTTCCATCCGTTCTAGTCAGCGTGGTGGGGGGCAATGGGATCTGCCCTGCAATCTGGAGGGCCACAAGCCTGGCACAGAATGAACAGAAAAAGCTACCCACTATTGGCTGCTGAAATGATAGGCACCGCCAGGAGACAATAATGAACAGCTGCATCTCTGCCAAAAATATGTATGTGAGCTATGCGAATCCTAAAATACAAATTGCAAAGCATTGGAAATAACTGAGCACTTGAGTAGTCTTGCTGGTGGATAGCATGTACTTAGTAAAAGCTCAAGAGCAACAAGTAAAATTAAGTTATCGAGGCTGTTTTGGGAAGAGAAGAAGCTGGTGGGAACTTCAGGCTTTTCTCTTTCTCTTGCTTTGACGAGCGCTAGCATGCATTTCCAGGGAGCAGAGCAATAAAAGGGAGGCTCTGGTTTCTTATGCTTTAAACCTTGAAGTGATAATATGTGGTTTTTCATGTTCCTTTTTGAGAAGAGGGCAGTGCATGTTCAGGCTTGAGCTTGTTCTGATAGGAGGAAGATGAAGCAGATGCTTGCCTTCCCCTTTCAGGAAGTCATTGGCGTACGGTAAATGCATTATTCCAACTAGGTCATTGCTTTGTTTTGCCTTATTAGAATATAGCAGCTTTGAAAAGCTACACTGCATCAAAAATTAAGGGAAATGAAAAGAAATTGACATATGCCATTCAAGTTTAATTAACTTTTTTCCTTCAGTCCCCCCCTTCCCCACCCAAGGGTGGAGGCTTGAGAGGAAGGCAGCCTCTATTTCAAGTTGCAATGTTTCTTTTCATTTGTTTGTTTGAAATACAAATCTCAACTTGAACTTCTTACATAGTTGCATGTGGAGGTTCCATTCCTCTTCTCACGTTTGTGGATTGAGTGAGAGAACTGCTCTTTAAAAACAAAAAGGAACCCTAAACAAATGTATTTGTACAAATATGTATATACTGCTAGAGTTTGTATTTTTTAAAAAGCCATGCATTTCATACTTATGTACAGTAGCAACATCACATTAGCAAAACATGTTTGCCTTCCAAATGGAACCTTTATGGTGCTGGGGAGAAAGAACTGTCCTCAGTCTTGTACATACAAAATTAGACACTTTCCCCTGTTTAGTGTTACTTCATTGTGTATAAATTAGAACTGGAGTAACTGAAACTGTACAAGTCTGCAGTTTTTCCTTCAAGGGGGTCATTGTTAGTCACCAATTACTTGTTTTTAAGGATCAGGAATTAAGGAGTGTTTGCACACAAAACCAACCAACCCAGAATTTCTTGGGGTTTTTAATGGCAGAAGTGTATTTATTTTCAGAATAGTGCATCACTGCGCACCACAAATTTAGCCTATCTACTATATATGCTTGAAAAGTTGTATATTTGCAATTGCACTGAGTCTTGTTTAAAATACATCCAGCCCGGGGTGAACCTCTTTTTCTCCTTTCATGAGGAACACAGATGTTTTGGAAGGGAAGAACTTCCTTTTCACCTGTGTGAATTGGTCCAGGACAGAGTTGACTTAGACTATTAAGATGAAAAAAGAGCTCAGATTAGGGTGATGTGGTGGAAGCCATTATTTTGATAAGCCTTTTAATAGGCCTGATTGCTTATTCTTTTCTGAATGGAGGATATCAATAAACTCGAGTGTGTGTGATATGCCTGGACAGCAACTCCCAGCTTGTGGTAAACCAATTGTGTGATGGTAGATGGCACAAGCAGAACTGGATATTTGGTGCTGTATCTAGTGTGAGCTATATTCAGAGTAGACCCACTGAAATTAATGGATGACTTAGCACCATTAATTGCAGCGGGACTACACCGAGTAAAACATAGATGGCTACAACACCTAAGAGGTTTGCCACAAAGCCATCTGTTTTCATTGGCATGAAAAACGGCATATTCTGCACAGAGCACTCGCTGAATACAAAAAGCCAACAAACAGGATAGTAACTACTGCATGAACAACTTCTGTACTTTGTACAACCGGGAGACTGCACATCCCAAATTGTTAGAGTATGTCTCAAGGTAGTGTTCAGACAGACTATCAATTTGAATCAGCCCTTTGCATTTTAAGATCACTTTGAAGGTGGAATTATTGGAGAGCAATTTAATTTGATTGTATCTTTGCCATTCTTTCATAGATGCAATTTGCAAATGCTGTGAGGGCAACTTGACAAGATGAGGGGAGATCTGTAATTGACAAAAGTAGCCAGGGAAGATTCAGGTGAGAAATAGCAGTGCTGTGGGAGCAAAGGGTTAGCATGAGAGGGAAATAAAATAAAATAATAATAATAATAATAATAATAACAACAACAACAACAATAATAATAATAAATGTTATACTGCCCTTCATTCAAATATCTCAGGGCAGTTCACAACATAAAAACACAAAAGACATAACCAAAACAACAACAAAAACCCCTCCCACAAACACATTCTTAAAAAAAAAAAAAGATTTTATCTTCCTGGGTTGCAGTGCCACCCCTAGAACAGTTAACCACCTCTTCCTCCTGATCCAAATCTTTGTCACAGACAGTTGAATTTGCCATTTTATATGGGCAAGCCAATCATTATTACCATGACCAGAGCATCTTCATGGCCAGCACTGTACTTTGTGTTTGCACTGAATTGTGGAGTATGCATGGCTCTATCAATATTGAGTTTACTTTACCACTACCATAGTTTTCTGCCTACCTACTTTTCTGTGCAGTAGAAGTAGCTTAGACCACCCAGAGGAAGCAGGCATACTTAATGCTATTCTTTTACCTTCAGAGGTATTTAGGTCAGCATATTAGGCCACCTTCTTTTTGAATATTCAGAATGCTTAATTAGAGACCTCTTCAGGGCTACCTGCAGCAAACTGTCCAAATGATAAAAATGGTGATTCACCCATTTATAGAAGGAGTTAGTAATAAAAAAACCCTCAGAGTTTTGTAGCGCCTTAAAGGCTAACAAATTTGTTATGGCATAGAGCTTTCATAGGCCTGAGTCTTCATATGCATGAAATATTATCAAGCAGTATCTGGAGAAAACTTGCTCTAGGAATGGCACATGTTTTGCAGCATTGTATGTCCCCAGTACGCAACATGACGTCTTAATTGGTCTTTAATTCCTGATAATTTAAACTAAGTTTTTGTCAGACAATGGTAATACAAGGATTAGTGCATGCTATGAACAGGGAAAATATATATATAGGAAATTGCTTCAATATGAAAATAAAGAAATTAGAAAAAATAAAGTGATGTTACCACTATCTAATGCATTTCTGATGTTCCAAATAAACTGCACATTACTTTTCTTCCTTTTCAAAGCCCGTTCAAGAAAGAAAGTATATTTAAGAGTAACCCAGTCCTTTGGCTGCAGACCTTTGCACTTTTCTGGGATTAACCTCCACTTGAACCCCATGGAGCTTTATAGACAGACCCCCCCCCTTCTGCACCATACCTTTAAAGCATCATCATCATGCCACTTTGAACCATCATGATTTACCCCCTTAAGACTCATGGAAACACTAGGTTTTTTAAGGGTGCTCAAAAGTTGTAAAGAAATCCCTGTTCTCACAGAGCTCATTCTCAGAGTAGTTTAACAATCAGTCCCTCCTTCCAGGGAGCTCCAGCAGTTGTAACCCTGGGAGAAAAATAGGAGACTCATAACAACTCTCAGCACCCTTAACAAACTTCAGGTCACAGAATTATTTGGGGGAAGCCATGACTGTTAAGTGGCATGATACATGAAGAGCGCAGATGGGCCATAGCCAGGACTGAGATGCTAAGTCGGTTGTCCAATCTTTCTAGCCTCATAGGAGCCTCTTAAAACGCAGAGTCTGAAATTGACCATGGCACAATTCACAGAAAGTGTTAGAGATAAAAGAACGAGCTCTCTTCATTTTGAGACAAAGATATCGGCAGCATTCTTGAAAGGACGAAGCTGTTCCTTCCATCAGAATTAAGATTCCATCTTCTGTTAACAGAATGACTTGGGTTTGTATCTTATTCTTCTCTTTCTAGGCTTTCAAATCAAGTGCTACGTGGTTTTCAAACACAGGTCAGCTTGGCAGCCAGTCCCGATATCTGTTCTAAATGAGGGGGTTACTCACAGGTTTGGGTTCAAAATCTTGGTAGTGCCCAGCAAGTTTTCAATTCCATTTCCTGAAGAGCAACAACCTTTACCCAGTGTCAAAATCACAGTGTTGGTTGTTAACAAGTTGACATCTATCTGTGAGGCAACCCACGTTATTCTTTGTTTAGAAAAATGACAGTAATTGCTCTTGGCGGCTGTCTGCATGTACATGAAAGTGGTAAATCAGATATTTTTGTAACAGAAAATATGCATACTTAGAGGCAGGGTTACTGTCATCTGAGGACATCTGTCATGCAAGAGGGAATGCTGACAGACCTAGAACACTGACTTGTATATGCATGTAAACAACGTTCATGCAATTTTAAAAGAGTGCGCAAATTAGATGGTGTACCCAAGTATGTACATCACTTGACTGCATTGAAGAGTGTCGTATTTCAGGTGATGTTGGGTGATGGTTGTAACTTGGAATTAACATTTGTGGCAGCTCAGTCATACATGCAAGCAATCACTTGATGTTCCCACTGAGGTTAGTAGCTCCCCTCCAGTACCTATTGACTGCCATCCTTAGCAAAAAAAATAAAATAAAAAATACTCTGCTCTTATTGATGAATTTGTTTGCAACTCATTTCCTTCAAGTTAATCATTTGCAAATAGTACTAAGGCTTAGTAATGAGGACCAAAACCACCTGTTTTCTAAGACAGCAGACGTGTTCTACTTTAAAAGTGCATCTTGTTCCTGAAGAATAGAGGGGTGGGAGTGTTCTTTCTGTTCATAATATAATTTTAGAGTAAACAAGCCCCTATGAATGTTACTTTATTCATAATCCTTTTAAAGCAAGGTAGTTTAATATTTTGAAACAACAGTAGGTGGTGCTAGAAAACACTTCATATCCTCTAGCGAAAACAAATTGAAGGGAAAACGATGCCATATCTGTGTGGATCTCTCAGTTCATTATAGGTGTTGAACATATTTTTCCAGAAATGATTATATTATTTATCTACTTTGAGTGCTGATAATTTCATTATGTCCAATCTTCCATTTGTATGTATGTGTATTATGACAAAAATATAGAAAATAATGGCTTGACTAAATCATATTCTGTAGATATTTCTGTATAAATGATGCCCCCCCATACATGGATATACATTATGTATATATTGAACTTTGAAATAATAAATGCCACAAACAAATGTGCGGGTGCTTCTGTTTAGTACTTCTGACAGCAACATGTCTGGGAAAATACTTAATTTTGACCTTCTGTACATAACCTACAATTTATGGATTTTTAAAAAGACATTTTAACAATTGGTTCTTGTTAACTTATACACCTTCATCCTGCAAAAAATTAATGTACGTATATATACCCTCATTAGGGACGCGGTGGCGCTGTGGGTAAAACCTCAGCGCCTAGGGCTTGCCGATCGCATGGTCGGCGGTTCGAATCCCCGCGGCGGGGTGAGCTCCCGTCTTTCGGTCCCAGCTCCTGCCCACCTAGCAGTTCGAAAGCACCCCTAAGTGCAAGTAGATAAATAGGTACCGCTTTATAAAGCGGGAAGGTAAATGGTGTTTCCGTGTGCTGCGCTGGTGCCGGCTCGCCAGAGCAGCTTCGTCACGCTGGCACGTGACCCAGAAGTGTCTCCGGACAGCGCTGGCCCCCGGCCTCTTAAGCGAGATGGGCGCGCAACCCTAGAGTCGGAGACGACTGGCCCGTACGGGCAGGGGTACCTTTACCTTTACCTTTATATACCCTCATTGCAATGCATACCCACTTCTTATTGACTAAATTAATGGATCTGATGAGGCTTGAGATATACACATTTCCTTTAGGTGTACGCCTGGTGGATGATGATGATGATGATTTGTAAGCTGTCCTTCACCATAAGGCCTAATGTGGCATACAACCATTAAAACAGTTTACAAAGCTGTTTTAATTACGGAAAGGTGGGTCCTATAAATATGCATTTCAGGTCAGTGTTAGAAACAGATATGAAAGCTAGGAGCTAAATGACGCCTTAAACCTAGGTTATGGGTGCAACAACAAAATGTCTAGGCATGCTTTTTAAATAAGAATACAAAGCTGAAAATGAAGTAGTATTAAAATATTTCTGAAGTATTATATACATTTTTTACATGGTCTAGTAGTCCTTCCCCTGCCCACCACCCTAATATTCTTAAGGGTCTCTGCTAAGCGCGGGCAGGCGAATCCAAATGGCAACAGCCAATCAGATACCAAGGATGTGCGGAGAAATGTCCTAGCCGTGCCACCTGTCCCAACGACGAGAACAGACTTCGCGCATCATTGAAAGGTGAACATCGCACATCAGCCCTAAAATGTAGCAGAAGGTAGGCGGGTGTTCCGAGGACCGAGCCAAAGGAGAAGCTCTGGTCATGCCGCATAGGAGTATAGAAGTAGGTCCCCGATCGATCTGCATGTCCAGGCTGCGCAACATGTGGCCAGATTGGGAAACCCAAACATATGAGAGAGAACACTACTAATACCGCAGATACACCGATGTTTGTGGCCTTACTCTGATCCAGCCTAGCCCACAACACAGGAAGGTCAGATCTCAGATCTGACCCTCAGACAGTGTTGCCTCACTTTTTTAGGGAGGACACGATTTATTATTTCTTTCACACAGCAACATGGCACAACGGGAACTTTGGAAAGAATCAACCAATATATGACAATCCACTCGAGAAATCTGATATCACCGGCCCCCAGCAGGGCTCGCCAGTCTGATGTAAAGCTCGCAAGTTTTCGGCACTGTATTGTTTGTGCGCTTTCTGTTGGTCTGTGTGTTCTGGCAATGACAGTTTAGAGGGCGTACGGATTCATGCCTGTTGAAACTCCTTGTGTCGTCTTAAGAAATTTTGGTTCCTCAGCACACTCCTGGCTCGCTTCCCTTCTCTCCTTTAGAGAAATTAAGGAGATATGGTGATTGTACTTACCCGACAATCCAGGACATGTTTTCACAATACAGGCCACTCTCTGTGTTTGGGAAGAATGAGGCAATAAACAGGACACTATTATTAAAAGCTATTGCCTCGAGGAAGTGTAAAATTATTTTAGCTTTCATTTGCTAGATCATAGAACCCCTTTTTTTATTGGCAAGTTTTTTTAGGTTTTCACACTTCAAGTGGAAAGTGGAACTGTGGCTATCTGTTTCCAATAGTCGTTCACTGTTTAGAAGCCCGCCATTCCTTCTCCTCCCTTTAAAGGTGTGTCTGCCAATCTTATTCATATTAATACTGTTATTTTTTTTGCTCTCTTTTACGGACCTCACTTTTTCCCTCCTAAAAAGTAGGGAATGTGTGTGCGTCTTATGGAGCGAATGGCAGGCTGCACAACTTATAAGAAGCCAGAACTATGCAAGACGTCGGGGGATCGTTCATGCTTTTCCTGTGCAGTGATCCCTCCTTGCCTGTCTACATTGGCTTTTCTGGAGATTCAGGCATATTTTTTTTTTTCTTGTTTTCCTCCTCCAAAAACTAGGTGTGTCTTGGTGGTTGGTGGTCTTAATCCAAGAGCAAAAAATACGGTAACTTCCAGTTATAGGACCTGCCTGAATACATTACCCCCTCGGTCTATTAGACACACTGAAAACAAGTAGTTGACAACTCCCACTCCTTGTTCTTAGACGGCATTTTTGCAGACACAAGAGCCCACACTCTCATTACGCGCAGAGAGTTCTGAGCTCTGGGCACATCCTGTGCTCTTCAAGATCTTCAGATTAACCACAGACAAGAGTAGAAGGAGGGAGGACCTTTTTTTTCTGCCTGCCACCCCGCTTCCAGCTACTCTCTGTTAAGACTGGAGGAAGAGACCCT